AAAGCATTGTTTGAAGAAGCCCATGCAATGGACCACAGGGCATCACGCAGTGAGAATGACTGCACAAAATAATTGGGGGATTGTGGCCTGCCTCAGTTACATTTTTTCCCTACTTCAATTGTATAGTCCTGGAAACTCCACTGCCCTGTTACATCACATTCTAATGGAATCTGATCCTGCTTGGTGTTAAAGTTCCGTTTCTAAAGGATTAATGAAGGATTAATAGATTGTTATAGAGCCCAACCGGTCTATAGGTTATAAAACCATAACTTAAAACCACTCCTAACACCTTCTACTGATGTGCTTATAACCACCGATAACACATACTGCTCATGGCTGTAACATGAATAGAACGTTAACTGTTTAGTAACCTTTGTATAAGTGGAACCCTAATACACAATCTGACCCAGCCTCTTTCTAATATTCTTTTTGCTGCTTATCATTAATGCAAGGTGCTGTTTACTGATATTGTTTCTTTAAAGTTTAGATTTATATACAAATAAAAATCAGTGACTATATCCAATTACTCTATATTACTTTTATATGGAATCTTTTTATCCAAGACTCTTGAAGTACATTGCAATCCTTAATAAAGCCTCAGGATACCTCTGTGGTAGGTAAGTATTATTATTACCTCTGTTTTACTTGTGAATAGGAGACTGTAGAGAAAGATGAAGTGATTAAGCCAAGGGTATTCGGCAAGTCAGTGGCAGAGCCAAGAATTGAATCCAGGTGTCCTGGCTTCCAATCCACTGTTCTAACCATTTCCACATTGCATTAGGGAGAAACAAAATATTAATGAAAAGTTAAAGTTACTCAGTTAATTTTTTTTTCAGTGTCTGGAAATGCAGACGTTAAAAGTCCCTCAGTAACACAGTCACTCTACACATATTCAGGCACTTTATTTTCCAAACTGACTCAAATGACTACTAAAAATTTCCTAAAATGTTTTAGGCAGCCATAAAAGTTTACCACCACTGTGTAAGAAAGTTATAACCACATGAAAATGGGGGAGGCGGGGAAGGAATGATAACGGACATAACACGCCTGATAAAATAAATAAAACTATCCCTAGCAATAATACTGTAATTTTTTTAAATTTAGTTGGTGATTGTGTCATAATTTCAGTATTAAATCTATTTTTGTTCATCTGGGTTTCTTTGCTGCAATAAGTGAATAGTGGCCATTCATTACTCAATAAGGTCCTTTATATAGATCCTTGTCATAAGCAGCTGACCATTTATTTTACAAGTAAGAAGATGTTATCTTCCCCGTGTCTATTCACTTTATTTAACCATGAAAAATTGTTGCTTGGCCTTCTTTGCAATGTAGCTTTTCAATGAGTCAGACAGCAAGAGGTTTTCAAATAATACCTCATGCCAGAAATGTGACGTGTAGCTTCTAAAGAGCAGTGATTCTGTAGACAACCAGATTCTTGAAAAGTCAGGAGAGACTGAATGTTCCTTATAACAAAACAACCCTCCTGTGCCGAGTATTGAGAAATAATGGGTTTCAGTGACTTAATTAATATTTAGTGAGGCTGGTTGAACGTTTTCTGTCAATTTAAATGTGATGGGAAATTGAGTTTTCAGTCAAGTTATTACTTTGTATTGTTTAGTGTTGTTGTTCTTTTTGGTGTAGAAGGTGACTGTTTTCATTGAACATTTCTGATTATTCATTGGGAACCAAAAGCCATACTGATCTGAGCGAAAACCAAAAAAAGTTTGATTTTTTTTCATCTGGACATATTTTGTTTTTTCCCACTCACAAAAACTTTTAAAAAATGGCTTTCAGGTTTTTGATTAGAAGTCAAAATTTTCAGTAGAAAACAATTATTTTCACTGTGGTTGAAATCTTCCCTCCCTGCATTTTCTAACCAGCTCTAATATTTAAGTCAGAACGAGGGGGGATTTTCAAAATTGTTCATCTTTAGCCTAATCCTGTTCTTACTGAAATCAGTGGCTCATTGACATGAGTTAGGTCAGCGCTGAGTGCTTTTGAAAATCTCAGCCTAGAAGACACAACATAGTGATCGAAATTTGGAACTGACTCAAGGTCTTTTGAAGGATGAATGGCCATGTGGCAAGAACAAGTCAAGTAGGCAGATTATCCGGGCGTGATTCTTTGCTCTGTCATTCCTGTGTGACCAAGTTGCAAAGGCCAATATTTTCAAAAGTGGCAACTGATTTTGGATGGCTCCATTTTGACACACCTCTCAAGATCTTGCTGGCACACAGGTGAATTTAAATCTAGCTCTGCAGAACTCCACCACAGAAATGCATCTCTATTTAAAAACTGGCCTGAAATTTTACAGCAGCTAGTGAGGTCTGTGTAGATTGTCACCGTTCTCATCTTTTTGAGGAACATACAAAAAGGGGAAATTACAGAAGATTGATGTGAGGAAACCAAACCATAGTTTGAAGTCTCATTGCTACAGAAGGCAAAGTATCGGATGAGGTCCCTAAACAGTATTGGGATACACATGTCAACTACCTTTAGGCCACTCTTATTTGCATTATGTAGATGAGAATCTCTAGGTCCGCTTACTTTTTGTAAACTATTTATAGAGCATATTTAGTTGGGTCATTCTGTAACTAGCAGATTGCACAGAAATCAACTTTTTTTGGGTCATGACGATGTTTGAATAAAGTCCATCTGCAGAGAGCCTATTACAGCTGAGATAACTGAATCCGGCAAATTGTTAACTCATTAAGATATTAAAAGGATCTGCATGGTGGTGGGGCCTTTTTATGGAGTCTTCACTGCAGCTTGTTTATTATAAACTCACAGCAAGAATGCAGGAACTTCTAGATTGTCTGTTGCTTTGACTGCTAGACAACACTGCCCTTCCAGAGTTGGGACTAGAATCCAAGAACTCTGATGCCCAGTCCTGCTGCTTTAACCACCACAACCCATGCACTTCTCTTTTCTTACCATTTCCCAGTGCAGACATCTGCAAAAAAAAAAATGCATGCACCCAAAATGAAAACTGATCTCATTCTGTATATGGACCTATTCCCTCTACTCTACCTTTCCTAAAATAGACACATTAAAGATTACATTTAGCTGCAACAAAATTATCAGTTTAACATGAATATTGGTTTAAGAACAGTCCCTAATTAGAACCACTCAATCCCACTATCTATGAATTAGAGATGGGAACTGTGCCAAAGAGCTGGATGCCCCAGGCTGGTCTAGGAGAGGAGTGAGTGAACTTCATACCTACGTCTCTGCACCCTGAAGTAATTCAGAAAAGTGCTGACCCTGAGGGGAGATGGGGAGAACAGAGTTTGCCCTCTCAGGGGGCTGGGAGAGAGGAGGAATCTGCTCCTTCTTGCTTATTTTAATTCTCTGGATAAGTCTTTTTCTTGTTCTTGTTTCTCCACTTATAATAACCTCCCCCCAGGAGTTAAACCCTCCCCCATGTGAGTGGGTTCATATAGCATCCTTTGCTAATTTCCACCGTTATCTCTGTTGTTAGGAGGGATGGGTCCGAATCAAAAGCCCAGATCCAAATACCCTGAACTTTGTAGATATTGAATATGGATCCAAATTTCCCAGAAGAATAGATTCTCTCCACCTGGCAAAAGGACTGGCTTTTCTCTGCATTTTTTATTTCTGCTGACTGTATTTTTATGTTAAAATTTTGGAAGTAATTAGCAGAACATGGAACATTGGGGCTGTGAAGTTAAAATCCCTCCACTGTCTCCCCCTTAGTCAATGTGGGTAAATGATGTGGTTTGTGGTTTCCTTAGGAGAACTGCCAGCAGCTTATTACTTCAGGAAGAATCAAATTTTGACTGTTTACAGTTGTTGTTAATGATTTTAACCCTGGAATAGGCCTTGATCTCTGATTAATCCCAAGGAAGCAATTGGGCCCTGCCCTCTCTGACATGTAGGAGTGCTGGGAAGAAACTGGACTTTATGTGCTGCTCCCCGTCCTGTGACAGAGGGCTGGTGACAGGGATGGAAGTATTCCCTTAGTCCCACTCCGAAGGTCCTGAGGCAAAGTTTGAGAGAGGGTCAGGAGGGGGTGCTCCAGAGAAGGGATGGGGGAGCCCCCCCCACAAGACAGTGGGAACACAAGGGGGGAGAAAGCGCTGAGTGCTCCCGTTGTCCATTCCTTAAAGGGCAACGTCAGCCTATTCCCTTTCCCGGCTCACAGATCTTATGGCCTTCATTGACAGGACCGGCACCATCACCAGCCCTATCAATGAGATCTCCGCCACCCTGTGAGTGGCTTCAGATCAGGGGCTTGATTGGGCCCCAACTCCTTGCTTGTGCTTCAGGACAGCTCTGGAGTTCCTCTGGTTCCTTGCTGTCCTCAGCTGTTTGCAGGGGCAGCCTGAAGCCATCAGATACGAGAAGCTTGACAGTCATGCTGCCTATAAGTTCCAGAAGGAGCCCGACATGTGCACACTTAAGATGACACTGTCCCATGTGTTATATGGTCAGGAGGAGGCCTCTGCCACTCAGATGCACCAGCATGCTCTGAACTGGTTCTCTGTGTGCAGGAAGTACTGGCATGTCTCACTAGGCCTCCCTTTTGTAACAGCTCTAGCTGCGTTTCTTCTATACCTCATTCACCAAATACCAACCCTTGTCTCGGCTGCTCGGGCTGTGTGGCTTTAGATAGTTCATTGTATTTTTTGTTCCTAAATCTGATCATTCCAAATGCTGACTGCTCCATCTTCAGTCACAGTCAGACAAGTGTCATGCAGTCGAGTTATTGATTGACTTACTCTCCAGAATCCCCAGGCTCTTTCTCCAGCTCTTTTCAGTTCCATTGCCCTAGCACTCATTGTGAATCCTGTAGCCGGGCTGGTGACTCTGGGTCTGATCCAAAGCCCATTGAAGTAAATGGAAAGGCTCATATTGACATTAAGGGGCTTTGGATTAGGCCCTTAGAGCTGTCAGGTTTGAATGTTAAGACCAAACAAACAAAAAACAACCCACCAAACCACGCGTGCAATTGGAACAATTTTTTTTTTTTGCCAGAGTAAAACTACAAGATCAGGCACCTCAGAAATTATAATAACGGTTTCAGATTTCTTTTGGCTGTAGTACTCCATGTTCGACTATTTAAAATAAGTCAACAGCTACTTTTAAAATAAAGTGGTCCAGGAAAAGACAGAGGTTCAAACAGTGATGCGCTATTTTCACTCGCCTAAAAAGTCCAGTAACCAAGGTGAGAGGTGTGTATATTTAGAAATGCTTCCTAAGGATTTCAGAGTTGCCAGCAAGATTATACAGCAATTGAGCAAATAATAAGCACTGACAGGTTAGTTAGATTGCAGTTAAAGAGCGGGTTTATACTTCTTCCCAAATATTTATTTAGGCCTCCATGAAACTGTAACTATTTGTGCATCACCTTTGCAAGGACCAAGAATTAAAGTTATTTTCATCGTATGTGGGTGAGCTTATATATGTTTAGAACCTAACTCACTAACAGGAAATAATCTTACTTAATCTTACTTACTTTATTTACTGGTTACTGTGCATCTCCAGCCGGCACTCTTTCTCTTTACCTATGTGACTGGCCCAACTGTTATTCCCAGAAAGATTAGATGCATCTAGACAAGCTATCTGGTGAATACAGGACTCCACCAGCAAATTTAAACAGTAACAGAGATGCTAAAAATGTAGTGCTTTGCTTTTCCATTTGTCATGATTTGGACTGTGGGATTCTATCTGTTTATACACAATAACCTTGTTCCCAGCATTTGCCAGGACTTCTCCCTTTTCACCAGACTGCAGATGGATTCTGTATTGTCCTGTGCTCTTTGTTAATCTAGATTTCAGTCTAACTGGTGTAAATTGTCATATCTGACTTGACTTCAGTTCCTACTCCACTTTAGACCAGCTGAAAAGCTAGCTTAGTATCTTTAGCCAGTTCTGCCCACCAATTAAAACAACTACAATACAGATTATAATCCTCTATTAGTAGCATTATAGTTATGCCTCCAAGACATAGTTGAGGTTGGGGCCCCCATTCATTTTTATTCTTATTATTAATTTGTATTTTACCTAGAGGCCCCAGTTAGATCAGACTTGCAGAAATGCTTTAGATCTGTGCTTGCAGCTCTGGTTCCAGTAGTTTTGCCCATGCTGCATTGTAGGGGTGAACGAGGTGAATGGGATGCTCCTGTTTGTCCACCATCAGCCTTCTTTCACTGGCCCATTTCACCAGTCCTCCTTCTGCATTATAAACCTTCAGGGAAGTTTTGGGGGTTTGGCCGGCTTCACTTGACAAGAACTCATTCACGCTCTGGGCAGTCCTGGAAGCCCTGTATCCCACAGTGCAATAGCAAATGATGTTTTTATTTTTACTCTCTGAAATAGAATGGAAAAAACCAAGGAGGGAGTTAAAAGCTGTGTACAACTACAAGGTTTTTCTCACTAATCCAGTATTGCCAACTCCAAACAGTGGTAACTCCGGCCCTCAAAAATCATGAGATATAAATAAATAAATTAAATAAATAATGGATTTAGGGTCCTTTTTATTCAGCGTTTAGTTTCTGAACCTTGAGGATATAGGGCTGGCTGGTGTCACATTTTCAAGCTTTGCATCCATAAGTGCTGAGAACTTACTTTTTTTTGAAGCTGAGAGTCTCATATATTTACTTGACTCCAGAAGCTGGGGCTTTTAAAAAAAAAGTTACATTTTTATGAGAGTTGGCAATACTTCTAGTCTGTTATTATGATGATGATTTCAGCAATAATGCCCTCAGCATAGGGCATATCCCAGCACCTTTGTCAAGCCATTTAGACACAAAATTTAGTTTGTCTCTTTTTATATAACAAAATCTAATATTAATGATGATTATACATGTTCATGTTTTTTAATGTAATTGAAAATGGTTGTTTCAGTTTGAAATGCCCCACATCACTTCTTTACCCAGGCTCTTCAGCTCTGTGCCAGTGTATAAGAACCTGAATGTAACACTGAGTAGAAATTGCCCAGTCCAGTTATACCATCTAGGCTGAGTGCCAAAGAGAGAGTAAAATAATAATCCAGAATATGTGATGAAAAGTAAATTAGGTTTTTCATTGGTTTAGTCTTCATAGTCTTGAGTGTTGTTAATAATCCAGGTAAGGCTTTTTTTTTTTTTTTTTTTTTAATATTACGGCCCAGATTCCTGGCTATGACTGAGAAGTAGCTCAGGAGGGTGGTTCTCAGCTGACTGTGTGCCAAGCCATTCTCCAGTCGTCTCCAGCACCCCACGGGCTAAGCACTTCTGAAACCCTGGCCCCAGGTGTGCTCACTGCGCTCTTTTGAAAATTCTCACCTTAGAGCAGCTTGAAAGCTGTTTGCAACAAGAAAGAATGAGTTCTACTGAGATCTTTACTGTACCTGGAAGGAGCTGTTTCTGCAGAAATTCTTGCAGTGTATCACTCTGAGGGTCAATGAGTATTGCCCCTGGCAGATGGCTGACTTCAAATTCAGCTGCACTCCGGATGTCCTAAGAATAGAACATTGACCAATTTTAACTCATTCAAATAAAACCTACAATATCTGATGACTGTTTAAAATATGCTGTTTAATATGTAAAATATGATGTTTAATGTCAGATCTATTTATGCTACCTCTTAGTTGTCTGAAACTGGAATGAACTATAGGGACATGTGCTCATGTGACTATGTTCACAAAAAGCCACAAAAATTTGAGTCTTGGGACAGCGAAACTTACGGCTTCATTAAAATTTCATCTGTGTCTAATAAAATCCAGATGAAGATTGTTTCAGCAAAGACTATCACAGGATGGGCTTTGTGAAATGCACATCACCTGCCAGTCCCTTGACCTCAAAAATAAAACTCAAGCCTTTAATTAAATATGTTCTAACAATCGTTTCAGTCAGCGATAACTATGATCTCGCTGCTATTGAGCTACAATTATAGAGTTGGAGTAAAAAATTGCAGACTTTGTACAGGCTTGTTATAAATATAACATAATGAGCACCCTGTTCTCTATTATTTAACCATATTTGAAACAGGATCTTCTAGAGTCTGCGCAAGTTCTGTCTGACCTACTATGGATACAATTTTTCAAGACCTACTGATGGAGATAGTGACAGGACTGCCTTCTAGGTGGGGAGAGACGTTGAAGGTGCATAGGCTGGAGAAGATGACTTATATGGGCCTAAGCACTGGGTAGGAAATACTAACAATTCTTGGGACTTCTGGTTTGAATCATGGCAGTGTTGCTTTAGCCCATTATAATTCTGAGGTAAATAAACAGATTTAAATACGCTAAGATCTTGTAGATGAGATCTTAAGCAACATACTCTTTCCTCTAGGTAGAATTTGACTATCTAATGGCACTTTGTATAAGAATAAGGTTTTATCCTTGCCCAACGTATCCCTTTTCTCCAGTGTATGCTGGATGATGGGGTGCTGGCTTCACACCCCAGAAGGGGCTGCATTTAGTGGTGCTATAACTATATAGGGCCAGATTCTGTCACCCTTACTGACATTATGTAGTAGTTTACTCCATGAGTAGATCCATTTTCTTCAATGGGATTATTCATAGCGAAGTACAACTCAGCATGAGCAAATTGACAGATAATGTTGTGTATAAACTCCATGAAAGAAAGGTCTGAGTGGGAAAAAAAAAGGGTTTTATAGAATCCTTATTACAAAATTATCCTTATTTTGTTAGTCACAACTACTCTTCAGTGTGAAAAATGGTACAGTTGTCTCATACAGCCTACTTTTATAAAGCTTGTAAGGATGTTATTTCCACCTCTAATTCCTGAGAACTACTGAGAAATTACTTTGAAAAGCGCAAGCACTGTGTAAAGTTGTTTGTGTGATATTCCACTGTTCGCACAGAAAGCACCTTGTTTTTAACATGAAACTTACCCACCGAGTCCTGCAAAGGAACAAGTACCTTATGTAATATCTCAGATTTTAAAGGGAAGCCTTTTCCAATCAACAGAGAGGCTACATAAATAGACAGTATCAACGGAGTCTGAATCCATTTGTGGTGGATGAAATTAGGTGGTGAAATTCTGACCCTGTTGAAGTCAATCACAAAACACCCATTGCCTGGCTTTACGGGAGCTAGGTTTTTACCCTGGCAATATCTCTTGATACCTGCTATCTTTACGTGTCCCTAAACAGAATAGTTATAATAACATGGGAAGAGCTTAACTTTATTGCCACTTAGGTGTGGTGGTAATTACATATGTAGCAATGTCTCATTTTTACAACACAGCTTTCACTTACACAGTTTTTAATTTCTCTATGGCAGGGAACTCATCTTCCTACATTTGTTAATTGCAATCCACACAAATGCAATTTTATAAAAATAAATAACAATTTAAAGCAAACAGTATTTAGCATATGCCTTCAATGTGCTTTAGAAACAATCAGGATCTATGTCTGCAATCTTTGCTTACATGAGTCGTGCCATTGAATTCACAGGAGTAAAGACTGCATCACTGGATCTCAGCTAATAAACAGCCCTAGGGCTGAAATCAAGTAGGTAAGTCTGTACGATCACTCCTGCTCTATAGATGAAGAAACTGAAGCAGGGAGGTTGTTATTTGCTCAAGGCCAGTGTCAGAGCTGAGAGTTCTGGGCTCATAGTCACAAGTTCAGGCGTCTCCCATACAAACTAACTAGTGTTGGGTTTTTTTTTAATATTTCCCCAGAGAATGTTCCAGGCCTTTATTTCTTATCCTCAATTTTCAATTTGTTCCTGATATTGATGGCCAAGAATTGAGATTCTTGACTTGATTTTGGCAGACCTACATGGTAATTTGATTCCTGTGAGTCAACCTTTCCATAGGATCCTCTCTCTGAAGTCATATTGGGAGCGAAATCGCATTCCAGAATAGAAAAGCAGACACATGGGATCTGTCTGATCTCTCCTTTTAGCCTTAAGTCTGTGTTTACCAGGGAGTGACTTCATACTTTTCAACATGATAATGGTAGTATTCCACAACCACTAAGATCCTGTCTGAAAAAAGCAACCCTATTATATTAACAAAAGCTAAGAACAAGTCGTCTTTAGATGTTTTTATAACCCAATTCCCAGAAAAAAATATCCATGCTGCATGTTCGTTTGTAACAGATACATTTATAGGCGATTCCTAGCTGACATTTTAAAATATTTTAACTTATAAAAATAGCAAAGTGCTTACAAAAAAAATCAAATTCCAGACAAATCTGTACCATTGTTACTGCAATGTAACAACAGCAGGAGCAGTAAAACCTAGCTAGCTTGGCAGCATTAGACCATAGAGGTTTGTTTTAGTCTAGATCTGAAAGGCTGAACTAGGCAGAAATGTAATATTTGGAATAAATATGCAACTTCAGAAACAGAGTTCCTGCCCAGGGTGCTGATGCAACAATGCAGCTCTGCTCTGCTCTTTCCGAGAGTTCCATTTGTTAAGTGCTTTAGCCAGGGCTGACCCTAGACCAAATGGTGCCCCAGGCAAGGGGCATCTTCAGTGCCCCCTTACAGGACCCTGAGCCCAGTGCCCCACAGAGCCAGGCCCTCACCTTGGTCGCCTGTGCCTAAATCCAGCCCGGGGTCTCACTGTGACATAACTTGGATGAATGAAACTTTCTCTGTAGAGCCTGACTGACCTTTATAGTTTGCGTTCCCTTAGGAAAAGGCTGAAGAACTTGGCTGGTTTTGAAGTGGGGTTTGCAACTGATTTCAAATTAAAATGTAAACTGCCTGTCTAAGAGGTTAACAGCATAACCTGCCAAAACTCTAGTTTCCTTTCTTTGAGAGGCTTGTTGGCACCCCACCTTTTCTCTTCATTCAGTTCCCTCAGTTGGAATCTAGAACTTGGCAACATCTGGTGCGATATGGAGTTATGATGAATCAACGGATTGCAGATACAATTACTAGATATATATACTTCTCACCCCACCAACTGACCTACACAACTGGGGAACCAGAACTAAAACCCCAATCCAAAATACAGGGAAGAGCTCTCTTCCCTGGCAGCGGTTCCTTTCCAGGGGCAGAGTATGCTGCCACTACAACATTCCTTTTTCCTGCACCATCATGTGCTTATACTGGGCATCAGGAAATCTCAGACACTAAAGCTGGCGTGGTGAGGTTCTAGGTTGGGACGGGAGACCTCAGTGGAAAATCCAGGTGTTGCAAAAAAGTGGCGTTAATGATTCCCCAGTGCCAGCAAGGGTAGAAGCACTGACGTAGGGTTAGATAGCACAGTTGCACAAACAACCTCACCCTGGCTACAGCGCCCCTTACACTAGGAGCAGTACCAGTGCTAGATAGGCAGTGTGGAAAGTCCTAGTGTAGGTGCCCATACAGTGGGCTTGAAGGAATAAACTGAGCCTAACATAAGTAAATGGCACTCAGATCCTACCAGAAACACTATAACAATGCCTGTAAATAAATAATGGGACAGGAGATTTTGTTTATTTCTTTTCTTGAAGAATCCCATGTTCAAGGCTGTGGTTTTCAACTTTCCTCCAGATCCTCAGTTGGTGTACATCCGCCACTGACTTCAACAGTGCTACCTCACTTTACTGCAGCTGACGAGCTAACCCTATGAGTAAGCTTGATTATAACTTTCTTTTTATTTAATTTGTCACGGTCATGCACGCATCACAATCAGGTCAAGAAAGAATGATAAAAAGCAACTACATAGAAGACTGAGCCAGGCATGCTTTGAGATCCTTGGGTACGCCGGACTATAAAGAGGCAAAGTGTTATTAGTGTCCGATACTGCACCCTAAGAGGCCCTACTTGTGCAATGTGGAAAGGATGAGACGTGAAGGGAGAAGAGAAAAAAGAGAGGTCTGACATAAGATCATAAGTTAAAAAAAAATTCTACCTGAACAGCCAGGTTACACAAAATACTTGTTGAACACAGAAAAATTTTACCCTCTTAAATTGGGTAGTCAGGAGACCAAGACTGATTTTAATTACAGAGTACTTGCTTTAATTCATAGGTAATAAATCACTTACAAGAATGATTAATTCCTCTGGCTTCTCTTCCATCCAGCATTGCAATGTCTCTGTGGTAACCGATTCCACATTTGGAAATGTCTCCTGTACCCACTTTATGGCTAAACTCATCATTTCTTTGGGGTCACTTATATTTAAATTGTCCATCTTCTGCAGAAATTGTGTTGCCATTATCTTGGCGGTTGCAAAGAACTGTGAAGAATATGGTCTCTAAAGACTTCCTACTTCCTTATCTAGGTAGCAGGTCACATGGTTAGTATTCATTTGGTAAATTAACAGAATTTTAACTCTTATAGTCAATTACATTAGTGGCAAAAAAAGGAAAAACTTATAATTTCTTAGGGAACACACTTCAAAAATGTAGACATAAAAAATTCTTATTTGTCCTTATAATTAAGCACTACAAAACAAATGTCTTATATAGCACTGTTTTTCAAAAAGCAAAAGCTCACAGTTTTTTGGCAAGCACCACCTGAAAATGAGTGCAAGTAAATGTCATCAATTGGAAAGGGAGCTTACTGATACAAAACTGAACTTTGAGTCCTTTGATTCTAGAGTTTGTGCTTTAGTTTTAGCAGCCCAGTGCAAACTTTAAAATTATAGGCAGCTATGAGTGAGCAAGGGATATGAGACTAGGTACAAACGGTAGGAAACATTTAACTGCTGTTTTGATTTTTGATTTATTTTTATGTATACAGCTGAATTTGTTATTAAAATACATTAGTATATCTATTCTTCCCCATAACCAACATTGTGGACTATGGACCCAATCCTGCTCCCTGCTGTTGATTTCATTGGGAACAGTATGAAGCCTTTTATCTCCAAAATTTGGGGTTTTTAAAAATTTTTCTGTGTTATTTTTCCCGTGTCATGTTCTACCTTTATTTTCTGTGCTGTTTCTGAAGAGAGATCATTTTCCCTTCTGGGTGCTGTAGTTTTGCCTACTTATTGGAAACTTGTTATTGCCGGTACCCAGTGCCGAGAGGCAAAACAACAGCAAGGTTCGTTGCCCGGTGTGAGTCACCCAATAATCACAACAGGGTGGAAAAGCAGGAAAGTTTATTTGCAGCTGCAAAAAGGTACAGGGAGAATAGAATCTCAAATCCTGCACACAGAGCAGGAAGTTACACAGGCTTTCATACATCCTTTCTTCAGCACACTTATCCAATAGCAAGCTGCCCTAAGTATCCATATAGCCAGCCAATCCAGTTACCAGCTAGTTTTCTTGTTTTTTGTATCATTTGTTAAACTATACATAAAGCTGCTTTATTCAGCATTGTTCTTCCATATCTGCCCTGTTTGGCCTTGTTTAGTTTCAGGCAGTCTGACTCTGCAACATATTGTTGCAGATCCTCAGCATAACTGCTGCGAGTGCCTCCAGGCGGGGGGGCCAAGGACACTTCGGCCTAGTGCGAGGGGGCTTCATCGACACTCGTGGTCTTCCATCCCCTTGAGTTACCTAGTGGCCATGCCCCAGTGTCCCCAACATCATGAATAAAAATTATCAACATTTTTTACAAAGGGTTTGTAATTTGAGGTTTTAAAACTAATATTAAGGAGTCCAGTGGAACCTTAAAGAGTACCAGATTTATTTGGGCATAAGCTTTCACGGGTAAAAAAACCCACTTGTTAAACATATACACAATTTGCTTTGAGATCTATGGATGAAAATCACTGTATATGAGATTGATTATTATCATCATCATCATAGTATTATATTAGAGAAGAGAAAGAATTGTTAGGGCATCTGATCTCACTCTTTCGCTGATACTGTAGCACATGTTCGTATGATCCAATTTTAAAAGTCCAGAGCAATGAGGCTTTCACCACTTCCTCTGGGAGACTATTCCACAACCCAGGACATCTCACTGTCAGGAAGTGTTTCCTGATATTCAGCCTAAGTTATCCCTCTTAATTTCACCTAATCACTTTCAGTTGTTTCTCTGTGTACCACACTAAATAATTCTTCCTCTTGCTTGGTGTTTGCAAGCTGTAGACAGTTATCATGTCCCATCTTAGTGTCTCATGCTGCAATGAGTTCCATCCCGGCTGTTCCTAACACATCCTGCATTGTGATGTCACAATGCGGTGTCCTTGATTGTGACGTCAGACACAATGCGGCACCTACACAACCTGGTATCATGAACAGCATGGCACCGTGGCGTCATGCACACCACAGCACTGCCATGGTGCAGGGTCATGCTCAGTGCAGCATTTCCCCAGTGTGAGGTCATGAACAGGGGGGCACTGTACCCCCCCCATTCTGTGATGTCATTCACTTGGTGCACTGTGATGTCATGATCGACGCAGCATTCCTTGGCTTTTATGTCATGAGCAGCCCAGCACGCCCCCGGGTTGTGACGTCATCCACTTGGCGCACTGTGATGTCGTGATACCGCAGCCCTGCTGGGGAGCTGAGTTCTCCCGCACTCAGGACAAAAAGGGCCAATCACTGCTCCCCTTCTTGGGCTAATTGGCGTATTCGTTACCCTAGCAACACCCCCACGCTCTGCCGGGCTTCCCAGAATGCACCAGTGCTGCCTTCCGTCCGGCAGGGGGCCGCCGCCATCTTGTGTTCGGGGTGTCTCGGCGCGTGAGCGGGGCCGCCAGCCATGGAGACAGGTGAGAGCCGGGGGCGGCTTCCTCCACTCCCGTGCCCTAGTCACCCCACCCCCAGCTAGGGGAGCCTCCCCATGGCTCCTGGCCACCGAGCCCCCGGCTGGCGACCCTGCTCCTCTCCGCTTCGCTGGGAAGGGCTCGGAGCTGTGGCGGGGGGGGGGGGAGTGAACGCCCCCTTCTCACCAGCGCCTGCCCAGGAGCATCCGCGTCTCAATCCCACCCTCCCCCTGCTCTTTCCGCGAAGGGGAGCGCTCCTCGCCCCTCCGCATAGCACCCAGCAGGGCCTGGGTGTTATGAGCCCCCCTCTGTGCCCGCTCCTCTGCGGTGTTCCCCACCAAGGCCCCTCAGGGCTGCTGGGGAGGGACCCTTGGGCCTGGCCTTGGGAAGGAGTGCCCTCTAGCGAGGGGAGCAGGGAACAGAGTCCAGACACTGCGGGGAAGGGATGGGTACCTGCGGATTAGAGCTGGCATCTGTTCCCATCTCTTACTCAAGTCTGGGGTCCTGTTCACCTGGGTTTTCTGCTGCTACTACTTGTCTGATATTGGATCAGCATGGCTGAGTGGTTAAGGCGCTCGACTACAATCCTGAAACGGGGGGAGATCCGAGCTGTGCTGCCTTTCACACTGAAAGGCCACGAAGCTGCAAACAGGGTGTCCGATCCATTGGGTTGGGGCACTTAGAGGTGGTCGGACCTGATGCGGATCACATCACTCGCTTGCATACCATTGGCTGTGAAACTGATTGACGTGCCTTAACTGTGTCAGCCCCATGAGCCATTGGCTCAGGAGAACTTTGACACTTCTTTACCCTGGTTCTTCATTTTACGGGATACCCATCACCCAAAATCATGGAAAGGCTGATTTGGGATACGGTCAGTAAAAAAGGATAGTCACATAACTCATGACTGTCAATATGGCTTAATTAAGTTTGTTAGGCAAACTTTATATCATGTTTTGATATGATCATAAATTTGATTGATAGAGAGAACTAATACATGTAGACTTCTGTAAGGCATTTGATTTAATCCTCATCTAACATTTAACTCCCCCCTAAAAAATATACAAAGTGAATGCACCCATATTAATAATGGATTAAAAGCTTTTTAACTGATAAATCACACAAAAAAAAATGTAAATGGGGAATTGTCTGGGGGGTGGGGGGATGAGTGGTTAGTGACGTCCTGCTGGGATATGTTCCTTGCAAATACTATTCAATTTCTTTGTGATCTGAGAGAAAATATAAAATTATTGCAGGTAAAATTTGCAGATGACAGATTGCTGGGGTGGTAAATAAAGACTGTGTTCAGTTTGGTGTTGGTGCCTCAAAAAGGATGTTAAAAATTGGAAAGGGTTCAGAAAAGGGCAATAAGAGTGATTCAAGACCTGAAAGACAAGTGAGCTGTAGCTCACAAAAGCTCATGCTCAAATAAATTGGTTAGTCTCTAAGGTGCCACTAGTACTCCTTTTCTTTTTGTGAATACAGACTAACATGCCTGCTACTCTGAAACACTTTATAGTGACAGACTAGGGAAGCTCAATCTATTTAATTTATGTAAGAGAAGATTAAGAGGTGATTTGATTGCAGTCTTTAAGTATCTACACGGGGAAGATATTCCTGATAGTAATGACGTTTTGATGTAGCAGGAAAAGGGATAATGAGATCCAATGATTGAAACTAGGGAAATCCAAATTAGAAATAAGGTACACATTTTTAACAGTGAAGGTAATTGATTGTTGGTATAACTGACATAGGCATGTGGTAGATTTCCCAAGGCTGGATCTTTCTAAAAGGTAGCCTATTGAAGTTATGGGTTTGGTGCTATAATATTTACTGATGTGCCAAATATTGATTAATTTGACAAAGTATCTCAGGTTTGGAAAGAACTATCTTGCAAAATGAATCAATATTACGATTTGATTGGAGGGATATATTGCTTTATCTCCTACTAACTCCAGATGGAGTGCTTCTGCCTATATGGCTCGGATTGAGAAACAAACCTTCCGTATTCTGTGTATAGCTCAGATCCTTATTAATGTTTTCCTCGCTTTCATTTGCATAGAATGCATGGGGTTTTTTTGTACTGACCTACTTTTCCCTCCCAACATCAGATGATACTGGAAATCGACTTCGGTTCCAACTGGAGTTGGAATTTGTTCAGTGTCTGGCAAACCCCAATTACCTAAACTGTAAGTACTTGAAGTGAAACATCAGGGACCTGAGTAACGAATATTAGTTACCAATATTTACTGTTTCTGGATTGCTAAATATTGAAAAAGGGTCTAATACAATAAGGGGGTTGGATCATTTAAGTTATTGATATATAAAAATTGCTCAGTCTGTAACACTTCTTGTTCGGACAAGTTTTATAGCAGGAATAGCTTTTTTTTTTTTTTTTTAAGTAATAAGTTCTATTTTGTGTAATTGTTTTCATTGATGAAACTCCTTGGATGCCAATATAAATTCCTAAATAAATAGCAAAAGCAGCTAAAGGGCATATTAAAATATTTTTAAGTTATTTAAAGGGACACCATCAATTTAAAAAGAAAAGGAGTACTTGTGGCACCTTAGAGACTAACCAATTTATTTGAGCATGAGCTTTCGTGAGCTACAGCTCACTTCATCAGATGTTGAACATCTGATGAAGTGAGCTGTAGCTCACAAAAGCTCATGCTCAAATAAATTGGTTAGTCTCTAAGGTGCCACAAGTACTCCTTTTCTTTTTGCGAATACAGACTAACACGGCTGTTCCTCTGAAACCATCAATTTAAAGATTAGGCAATTAAAAACAAAAGAGAATTCAAGTAATTTTAAGGTGCTACCCCCTATCCTTGCCCCTCAACCTTTTTGACAATTTTTATGATGTTACAAACACAATATCCTATTTTTAAAAGTCTGTTCTCTGCCTTGTTGCTCTGTGATAGACCTATACAAAAGGGGAAAGGTGACTAAGTTGCTATAAACACAGTGCTATCATATGAAAAATAAACATACTGAAAAAAGGAGGATTTTTCATCTCTCAATTATAGGACTCTTGGGAGTGATTTGTAACAGCTGTTGGTTTAAAACATTTTAAAAATAGAAGTGCTCTTTAATAATATATACTAAGCCACAAAGAAAGCAGCTTTTGTATGTGCTTTTCTAAAGTTTTAAATATCATTTGCTTTCTTGCAAGTGCAGTTGATACTCTTGTTTTGTTTCAGTCCTTGCACAGAGAGGGTACTTCAAAGACAAATCTTTTGTAAATTATCTTAAATATTTACTTTACTGGAAAGAACCTGAATATGCCAAATACCTAAAGTAAGTGTTAAATTATTTTGTGTTCTGCACTGTAATAATGTAATACGGACCTTATATTGTGTGTTATATAACTGTGTACTAGTACTTGATTTGTTTTCAGTCTGCTGATTTGTATTACAAAGTTTGATACATACACAGTCCAGGCCTCATGAGAAGACCTTGTATTTAATTACCTAGATAAGAGGGTGGCACTTAACCTTCCCTCAATTATGCAAGTAAATCGTGATTTGGTAGCCTGCACAGAAGCTTCACTGTTTGCTGATAGTAAATATTCTTGAACGCTCTGGTACTACAAAGCCTGAGTCAGGCACAGAAAGAACACTCAGTTATTTTGCAACACAGAAAAGAAATGGTATAAAGTACAGCATGGTTTTGAACACGTCTTAATTTTGCAGACTTGTTTCACGTTTTCTGTAAGGAGTTTCTTTCTTTCTTCTGTTTTTCCACATGAGGTTCTGAAACTGATAACTATTACAGCTGATACACAGAAGCTTTAATGGAAATCTGTGACTGACCTCAGAAAAGTCACTCCAAGAGAAGGGTGAGGGGGGTATGGGTGTGTGTTTCTCAGATTGAAATGATCAGCAACATGATTGAGATCATCTGAGTACATTACTGTATATAAGAACGTTTAAATAAGTGGATAATCTAGAGCAATGGTTCCCAGGCTTGTTCTACCGCTTGTGCAGGAAAAGCCCCTGGCAGGCTGGCTGGTTTGTTTACCTGCCGTGTCCGCAGGTTCGGCGGATTGCGGCTCCCTGTGGCTGCGGTTCGCTGCTCCGGGCCAATGGGAGCTGCTGGAAGCAATGGCCAGTACGTCCCTTGGCCCATGCTGCTTACAGCAGCTCCCACTGGCCTGGAGCAGCGAACCATGGCCACTGGGAGCTGCGATCATCCAAACCTGCGGACGTGGCAGGTAAACAAACCAGCCCGGCCCACCAGGGACTTTCCCTGCACAAGCGGCGGAACAAGTTTGGGAACCACTGATCTAGAGAGCCTCACTTAGATTTTGGGGCTGCTTTCCTTCTCTAATATTGTCCATGTTATCTTAAAGAATGCATTACCATAATTAATTATTTGAATTATAAGTAGCAGAGCTTCTCAAAACATGAATATCTTGCATATAAATATTGTAAAATAATAAACTGTAAGAATATGGGATTTTTAATACAGAAAGTGGCAGTATATTAAATCTAATCTGGGTAAACCCTGTAAAAGTATGTATTAAAATATATTGTTTGTTTTTAATCTAGGTATCCTCAGTGTTTGCACATGTTAGAGCTGCTCCAATATGAACACTTCCGTAAAGAACTGGTAAATGCTCAGTGTGCTAAATTTATTGATGAGCAACAGATCCTTCACTGGCAGCATTATTCACGGAAAAGAATGCGTCTCCAGCAAACACTGGCAGAGCAGCAGCAACAGAACAATACTTCTGTAAAATGAGAGCGTTTGACACAGTGGCAACATTTACTTCATGTCAATACATGTATTTGCAAGGGAAAATTTGACTTATTTTTGTAGCTTTGGCATTAGTGATATACATAACCTCATGTGCTATGTAGACAGAGAACGTTTTTGGTTTATCAACAGGTAGTATCCACGTTAACATGATGTAGCTGATGTATACTTTGTTGAACCTTCAGTGATGGTTTTGTTTTTTTCCGAAGAAAGAGTACAGTCTTAAGATCACTTTTGGCCTTCATGCATGTATCTATTGTGAAAACTAAATGTGGTTATTTAAGGTCCCTGTTACCTTGGTATCTAACCATGGAGTTACTGAAAGAATTTGTAGTTGAAAAGCCTGTGTTTGAAGGCATATTCTCTGAACTGCAGCGTGTGGAGGACAGTGGCATGGTATAAGGTGACTCTACAAGCAGGGCTAAGAGTCCCCATGTGATGCGGAGAGGTATTTGTCACAAGGGCAAGGTATCCACAATTGAAATGAGATCTGTTACAGAAAACCTTAATTGTGCACATAACCATATTGAAGCAGAGCTGTCCTATGGCTGATGCTGCACTTCTGTTTGTCTGTTAACGATTTGTTGTTTACTGCCCTTGCTGTAAACTTAATGCAGATTTGCTGATACCAAAATTTGAGGCATAAACCAAAGTGGTGAGAATAATAGAGGTTGCAGCTGATGAGGGGAGATTAGTACTAACAACTGAGAAGCCCTTTCAGTGGGAAATAACCAGTGCAGACACAAAACAGGAGAGAGAAACTGTGACAGTTGTACCCATTCAGTTATCTTGTCTCTTTAGCGTCAGCAAGCTTGACCAGTTGCTGCTAGGAAAGCTTAAAGGGAGTAAGTATATTTCAGGTAGTTGTAAATGTTTTTAAGACTTGTATATGAAAGGTCATAGGTAGAGAAGTATTTATCTTTAATATGACTGTTTTTATTACAAGAAGGTGACAACCCTACAGACACCAATTAAAGCCTTAATAAAAAAGAAATAGGTTATTACACAGTTGTTGTAAGTTATCCCTAACTGTAGAAGAAAGGCAGGGATTATACTTTTTCTTCCTGGCCATTAATTGAAGTGAATGTCAGTTATAAAGAGTAAAGTTCTGACACTAGAAGTAGAAAGTGAAGTGGTTTTTATTTTTCATGGACTTTGATGTTACTTTTCAGCAAGACTGTGGCTGTTGTTGAAACTATATTTAATAAAAAATAATAAAGCTTTGCCCTGCCTGAAGTTTTAATGGGCTTATGCCCTGTAGAACTAATGTAGCTGTCTTCTAAAAGGGTTAAACTTAGATTGCCTTCTACAGTGGAAAATAGCCAATTTGTAAGCAGTTGGCCAGACTAACACTTATGCTTTTAGATAGAAAAAAAAAACTTGGATGTAACAAGCGCCTATAAGAGCACAGCAAATATTGCCAACCAGCTTTTGAATTAGGTATGTAAGCAGAAAGATAGTTGGAAATGTTTCTACAGTATGTGTGCAATATTGCATGTTCCTTCTGTTAAGGACTTCTAGAATAACTTAAGTTGACTTATGAAAAATCAAAACTGATACATCTGAATTTCATCCTCACATCTACAGTGCTTAATTCTACTTCATGTAGCTCTCCCTTTATTCCACACCAGGGAGTATATTCTCCCTATTTAATCTTTCAAAAGATTGGTAAGGTTTAGAGACTGCTGTTGAAGTAGTGACCATACCCTCTAAAAACTGTTGGCCTTTAAGTTAATGTTTAAAATCTGTATACAGTCTGTATATCAGTCCTTCTCTGTGCACACCCTTGAGGAGTGAATGAGAAAGACAAACTTTTTAAAAGATGAGTCAACAGCTGTTAGTAGTCCCTGCATCTGCAAAGCACACTATAGAGAGGTGACTGCATTACAGCAGTGAAATGTGAGACAAGAGTAGAGAGAGATTACCATCTTGGCAATTGGTACTGAGTTAAGCATATCCCATTTAATTCTCTACCACATTTTACTTCTGGGGGAATTCTGCGCCACTGCACAATTTTGCAAAAATTAATGGGTTTTGTACAGACTTTCCTTTTCCCACTCCACAGAAATGGGCTGCAATGTTGCTGGCTGCCACAAGGGGCCACTGAACCAGGCAGAGCCCAGCTTGCACCTACTGAAGACACAGCCAGGGGGAGGGTTCCTAGCAGCTGCAGTTCCCCACATGCCCTGAAGGAAAGAAGCAGTGGCACATAGGAAAATCCACCCAAGCCTGGGACTAAGCATCAGGCTGTGGATTTCTGGGCTCTGAGGGGTGGGCATTTGGGCAAAGGGGGGGGCCATGCGGATGAGCTCTGAGTGCAGGTATCCAGGCTGGGTGGCCCCAGAGCTGGGCTCTTTAGGAGAGGGGATACAACTATCTCAGGTGGAGGGCCCAGGGCTAGATTCTTGAGGATAGGGGATTCAGGTGTATTGTCCGGAGAGGCCCATGGCTGGGCTCTGGAAGGGAGGAGTTGTGGATGTCTGGCCCCTGAGCTAGGCTGGGCAGAGGGGGAAAGAGAAACAGAAACTGGGCTCTCACAGGAGTTTAACTCTCCGTTACTGGGGGGATTGTCTGTCTGTCTGTCTATTGTTAGACATACTTGCTGACAGGTGTTTTGAAATAAATTACCAGAATAATTGAAACTGGCATCATTATGTAGTGTTGTTTTTGACATAAAATTTTAAAATATTGTGTGCAGCTGTTTTTGGCACAGAATTACCCCAGGTGTAACATTTAGAGAATTTTAGTCAAAATTTACTTATTTTAGTACTGAACCTGTACCTAAATGAAACAGCTATGGCTAAGCTTCAAGTAAAATCTACTAAAGCGTGGAACTAGGACTATAACAGTTTTATATTGTGCCTCTTGCACATAAGTCAATAAATGGACAGTCTCTGGTGGTTCTTCCACTTTTAATTAAAATTTTCAGGTGGGGTAAGTGTTTTAAGTAACAGGACAGTTGAGGGAGGCTGGTACAGTGTCATTCTTGCTAGAGTAAAAAGACTTTCCAAAGGCTGGGTTTGCACTATTTCCCCCTGAGTAGCCTGCTATACATTCTGACTACATGCCTTTATAGAGAGAGAATAAGTCATTCCTATAAGTAGAGAATCAAAAGAGGACATTGTAATGTGGTATATAAGGTAAGTAGTAAAATAATATAGAATTTAACAAACAATCACATAGTGACAGTGGGGTTTATAAAAAACACACACAGAAAGTAGAAATAAGGGCAGACTAAGAAGAGGCCTTTTTACACCATAGTAGTAGGTAGTGTTGAGCTACAACTATGGACCTTTACTTCTACGGGGTAGTTTAGTAAGCTAGTATTTTCTTGCAAGTAGCCTTCAATAAGTTAGATAGCCTTGCCCATCCTGTGGTTGAGTGAGCAACTACATCTTACAGACTCTGCTTGTTTCTTAAACACTTCAGTTCCTCTGTTGATCAATATAGAGAACGTTCAGCCTGTTGAAAAGATTGCTAAAACACAATTTGTTGCAAGCAGGAGTTTAATTCAGCACAAGGGTCAATTATTGTTTTCTAGTGTTGCAAGATCCCTTCCCATGCTCTGTACCAACAGTTTCATGGCATTTATTTTGGCCACTCAGCCAATGCACTTGACAGTTTAAAAAGTCTGAATGGAGATAAGGCAATACATGATGGCTTCTTTAAATGAAAATGACCAGCAGCTTGAAGATATGGGTATCTACTTTCTAGCTAAATGATTGACTAAAGGAGAGAAAACTTAATCTTCAGTAAACAACATGTGCACAAGCTCTCTGTTAAGACATTCTTCTTCTACCAATTTCTGAGGCTGAAAGAAAAAAAAGTGGTTTCAAGAAGAGAGTTCAAAGTGTCAAGTCTTTTACAGAGTTCCTTGCTCAGCATAATGGTATTTAACTCTATAAACTAGAGACTAATAAACTAGTTTTCTTTAATTTGTAGGGTTTTTCCAGATGTCATACACAAGTGAAAATGGTGTTTGAAACTGCTGCAGAAATTTATGATGTCCAGTTAAGATTAATTTATTCTACCCTCCCGCACCCCCCCAGCTTTCTTGCTCACCTTTTCCCAAATAGTAGTAAAACAGCGTAAAGTACAAAGGTTAAGAATGCCAAATACTATGCTTTTGTGGTGGTTCCATTTTCAACACACAGCCTCCAATGGTTTGTGTCTTTAGAGTTTCCAGAATGGAATTGCCAGGCTATTGTAGGTCAGGAATAAATTTTCCTGAATACTTCAGTAGAGTAGTGGAGTGCAGGGCACCTGGTTCACTCTGCCAGGCTCAAGCTTGTTTTTCCATCTCACTTTAGCGTATACAAATTCAAATAAAATACTTACTGTTCCATATTTAAGTAGCGTTGGCACTCCAGTTAGTTTCAGATTCTTTCTAAACTCATTGTTGGGGTCTTTCCAGCTGTTTTGAAAGAGTTAGTTATGTTTATGCAAAAGTTCTACATTCTGTTTGGAGGGTAAGATAGCTTTTACTATTTCATGCATAATCAGTACTATTGAAAGCCCAAGGGAAATCTGATTCTGTATTCTTAATGCATACAGCTACCACCAAAATAAGTAGAAATATAAATTGCAAGGAATTCTGGATCAAATCAGTATTAACTGCTGCAACATTAGCAGTGAGGTATTCTGCAACTTTCAGGTGGCTAATTCTCTGCATTCTAAATACCACTTGAAGTCCAAACTTTGGATTTAAAGTATTTTGTTTAACAAGCACAAAATGGCTGCATTTAGATAAGGAGGCTTAAATGTTCAGTTCAACTGTTACATTACTGTGATGAGGGATGACCCTAGGCATAAAGGTAACAAGCTTTTATAAGTCCTCTGGATGAGCATAAGGGTAGAGCATAAGAGACTAGACATTTGAGATGGATATGGCTTCCCACTGCCTGGACCAGCTCACTGAGAACAATTTGAACATATGACTTAAGATTTGTTTTATGGGACAGTATGTACATATATTAGAACTAAAAAATTATTTCAACATAAATAGCACAAGAAGCCATTAAAACGTAACTTTTTTAGCACTTACTAGGCTCGGTCTCCTACTTGGCAGTAGATGAATACAGATCCATCAGGCAGGCTATTTAATTCACTCCGCACAACTGGTTCAGCTAAAGAATAGAGTTTTCTAGTTAAGTTTACATAACAGTATTAATATTTTACAGTTGTGGCATCTTATGCTGTCATCTCTGCTGCTCATTCTTCCAGATATTCCTGCTCATTTGTCTGCTTCATGCACTAGTCACTATGCTTTCCTCTACTCAGCCTCCTGTGTATGGTACAACTTACTTGGACTCACTCAGCACCTATTTAAGTTGCTTCTGAAGTCCTGCTACTGCAGTATCACTCAGTGACCAGAGATGACTGAGGTATAAAATTGGCTAGTGTTTTCCCCAAGCCTTTGTCTCCTTGTCTGTATGACCTGGGAATATAAACTCCTCCAAGCAGCAACATACTTAGCTTAGTGAGTACTACCACACATACATACATCACCTGTACATGAATTCATGGGGATGTACGAGTCCATAATTGCCACCGAGCCAGGTCGGTTTTCTACTGCTAAGGACTCCTACTGGAAGTCACTATGTTGCAATGCCTTGGTATATTAGGGCTCAACTAACTGCTCATAAACTGGCATCTGGCCAGTTCAAGTGCCAAGGTAGGCGGCTGAAGTAGCTCACGCTGCAGGGCAAGTTTGCTAACTAAACTCCCATTCACGGGTATGATGTAATGTCAGCAGCAGAGATTCACCATTCAAGTCGAAGATTTGACAAGGGTGTGTGTAACACTGCTGGTAGTAATAACTGGTGGCTGGGGACCGGAGTTGGGGCACTGATCGGAGGCAGGCACAGGAGAGAAAGAGAGAAGCAGTGTTTTGAACCCCCCAAGGCAACAACTACAGATCGCCTTAGGAGACCACATCGAGTGAGAAACAGAAAAAGAGGGTCAGCCACCCCCAGGCAGAGTTATTCCACACAGCTGCCAGATACCCGTGGGGGGCGAGGGCGCGGAGCAGGTGCCCCCTCCTCTACACCGGCTCGCTGTAGAGGAGGGGGCAGGACAGCGGGAGCCCCGCCCAGGCCCTAGAAAGCGGGGGGTGGGTCCCCTCCGGGCTCACCAGTGACGCAGTCCGGGCACCAGCTCCTGCCCTGGGCATCCTTGTCCCCGCAGAACAAGGCGAAGACGGGCCGGCCGCGGCTCTGCTGCGC